AGATTTTCGACCCAGACTGACAACTAACTCATGAGTTTAAATCCTCACTTTATCACTTAGTATTGGATTCAACCATATAAAATTCTTAATATCTGACCATTTTTTACTTTTAAAAATGGCGGCTGTATATGGTTTAATCTAGTAGTTCTGTGACCTTGGTAAACCACTTCACTCTTCTAAGCCTCAGTTTCCTTAGAGATTAAAAAAAAATGTATGAAGTACTTAACATAAAGTAGACATTCTATAAATGATAGTTGCTTATTCCTGCTACTACCTCTGGCCCTGATAAGCCCTCCTAAAAGTGTTCCCTATCATCATGTTCCAGTTGTAAGGCACACAACCACAAAAAGTAGAATTATGCAACAAGGCAAGATTTGTTGAAGTATCAAAGGAATAATAAATGTTACAGAGAGATTGATGGAGAAAGAATTTACTGTATGGGATGTTGAGAAATGGCTTCCTGGAGGCAATGAGAATAGAGCTGGGGCTTATCTAACAGATTAGATTTGCATATAGAAAATTAAGAATGCAGAAGAAGAGCTATAGTAATCACACTTTTTTGAGAGGAGAGGAAAGAAACTCAATAGTAGAATGTCACTTTTCCTTTCTGAATTAAGTAATAATGGTGAGAAACTGACAAGAAGTTATGGTTCCCACTCTGGCACAAAGTGAGATTTTTGAGACAAGAGGAATGTGGACTTCAAACCCAGAACCATAATGTAGCACACGAGAAACTTCAGTTGTTTCATTGGCAGCTCTGAAGTAACGGAGCGTAATATCCTGGAGAACCATCAGGTAGGCCACCCAGGGCCTCTGCATTTCTTGTTCCCCTGCTTCACCGTTAGGCCTTTTTTTTTTAAAAGATGACTGGTAAGGAGATCTTAACCCTTGACTTGGTGTTGTCAGCACCATGCTCAGCCAGTGAGCTAACCGGCCATCCCTATGTAGGATCCAAACCCGGGGCCTTGGTGTTATCAGCACCATACTCTCCCGAGTGAGCCACGGCCCTGAGGCCATTTTATTGAATATTAGCATCTCTGTTGCAAGGTGATGTGTGGGTAAGATGATGGGTAACAGGTGGAGAAGAGCTGACTCCTAGCCCTTCTACTTTTTGTAACTTTTTTCTGCTGGGAAGAAAGTAAGGCATAACTTCCCTTACTAGCATCTAAAGGCAAAGGAAGTAAAATTATAATTCTTTGTTTTCAGAGTATAAAATTACAACCACTAAGAGAAAGTTATTAGGAACCACATTTCTAGTCCATTATAAGGAAAGGCCTTCTGTTTCATAAGAAAAAAGCTACCAGTGAGGTAGTGAACACCCCTAACTCTACAGATGTGCAAGCATAGGCTGGTTGGCTACTTTGCAAGGTGCCATAGAGGGACTTCTGTACTGGCTTAGAAGTTCAACATAGATGATCTTTGAGGTCCTTTGGAACTCTTTGATTATTAGTGAGGAGTTTTAAATTGTCAGATGAAACAGTTTTTAAAAACTTTTTGTTATGGAAATTTTCAAGTGTGCATGAAGGCAAAGAGAAAAGCATAGCGACCTGGTGTACCCATTATCCAGCTTCAGCTATTATCAGTATATGGCTAATCTTATTTTACCCATTTTCTCACAATCCCCAGCCCTCATAATATTTGGAAATATATCACAAACATCATATGATTTTATCT